ATTCGGGATACNAGAACACCCAGTACATGCGGGATACCCTCCCACGAGTAACTGTTCTCCCTTGAACACCCGATATACCCTTACTCGACCATCCATTTGTATGAGCGTTCAAACAGACAGTCCACCGTTCGGCTCTCAATGTGTTCCCCTTTGTTTTCAACACTCTCTCGACAATCTCTGTGACGAGCGTTCAAGAAGTCGACCGTTCTGCCTCCTTTTGGTTCATCAATCAACCGCTCGACCATCCATGTGTACTAGCATGTTCAACATGTCGAAGCGTTCGGCTCTCAAGGTGTCGCTCTTTGGTTTCAAACCGCTCGACATCTCTGTGTAGCGAGCGTTCAACAAGTCTTCGCCGTTTCGGTCCTCCTTTTGGTTTCAAACCGCTCGCCACATCCATGTGTACGAGCGTTCAACATCTTACGAGCGTTCGTGACCCTCAATAGTAGTGTTTTCTTTGTGTTTCAAACCGTCGACAACCTCTGTGTACGAGCGTTCAATGCAGTCGACCGTTTCGGCCTCCTTTGGTTTCAACCCACCAACGCTCGACCCATGCCTTGTAACGAGCGTTCACAACATCTGTACGAAGCGTTCGCCTTAAAGGTGTTCGATCTTTGGTTTCAACCGCTCGACAATCTCTGTACGAGCGTTCAAACAGCGACCGTTCGGCCTCCTTTTGGCTTTCAAACTCGCTCGACAACCTTTGCACGAGCGTTCACAAGCAGTCGGCCGTTCAGACGCCCTTAATGTTGTCCATTCGGCCTCATGACGTTCGTCCGCTTGGCTTCAGTCATTCGGCCTCACATGCCACTCGACTCCTACCGTCCGTGGCCTCACGCATTCAGCTCGCTATGACCTTCGTAACATCCCATACCCAGCCCCTACTCGCTCGGCCATCCAGGTCCTCACATCTTTTTCGGTCCTTCAAACTCACAGCGCGTCATCCTTGGTTTGAAACGTTTCCCCCCCAGACCACAGCAATAAACACAGCCTCCCCAAAAAATCAACTCATAAGTCCTAAGTTACCACGTTCCGTTAAAACGGAAACGCTTAACTCGACTTGGGGGCATTTTATGTAGTAAGATATTTATACATAACACTATCTTAGATATTATATACATAAATACTTAAGTATTTATAAAGAGTAACTAACCATATTTTTAGGTAAGGTGGTTATTTCTCTTATTTTGCTTATAATACAGTAACAGGGCAAAGGTCCGGTACATTCTCTTTAGGTTTCTAGAGACCCCTGAATAATATTTCAGAGCATATCATAATTCACTCTCTTGAGAGCTGAGGCTCCATAACTCACATCTGACTTGAGCGTCGGAGTATCTTTGCAGGTACCTCCCCCTCCTTTGGAGAATATGAACAACAACAATTGGAGAAAAGCGCGCGTCCCAGACAGCAGGAGCAACAAAGACACACTGGAAAATATCTACACCGAAACAAAACGTAAAAGAAAAATATTCTTTTAATAATTTTTTTTTACAGATAATTTATGATTGATCCGTTTGAAATATTCGAATAAAAGAAATTATTATTATATTATGATTCATCACAAAAATCATCTTCACGAAAACCATCTTTCTCTTTCTCTCATTTTTTTATTTTCTTTTATTCTTGGATATTAACCTTTTCTAGTGTTTATTACTAAATATAATATCATTAAGTACTTTTTGAATTTTTTTGGAATGTATTATGAAAGACATGCACAATATATTATGTCAGACCCCATTAAAACACATCAAAATCTCAAGTAGTGGGATCCATGACCAAGAAGAGACTGAGCGTCTCAGTTAGTGGAAAACAGGTGGCTGCAGGAGAGTGGTCGTTCATTATGAGTTTGACGACAGTATTTAAGGACAATTTCAAATGTTGTGCCACTTCTCTGCATGCCTTTCTTCTTCTCCAAACTGCTGAAACTCTTTTCTCCTCCTTCTCTCTAAAATCTCCTCATTCTCTCTAAGAAAACCTCACTTTTCCTTCTTCCGAATCACCTCTCAGGCACCGCTGGAACACTCTCGGCATCAAGAGCTTCCGTTTAAACCGATCGGTTTGTGATTCTGAGCTGGTGAGTTTTCTTCTCTTTAGCACGTTCGTTTATTCTCGCATGCAAACCTCTATTCCTTGGTCGCCTGAGCGAGTGAGTATTATTCTGAACGTTTCTGGTTTCTTGTGGTTCAGTATTCCTAAAACGTTGCGTCAGACTTAGTCTTTGGTAGTATGGAGCTCTAATTCTGTCAAGTTAGCGTTCTGTTACGTATAGAGGTAAGAAAAGCTTATTATAATTGTTGATTTAGATTGTTGTGTTGACATGTTTGTATGCTTGCTGATACGGTTGTGTTGATTATCTTGATGAGTATGAAATATGATTGTACTGACTTGCTGTTGGATGTCGTGGATGAACGTTGATATACGCTGTGAACTGAGTTGGTGATAGAGTTTAATCTTCGAACCGTAGTAAATCTGAGCAAAGGTATAGTATGGTCGAGCGTCATTACGAGCGTTCGGTTCTTCTTGGAGAGTGCATGGTCTTACTTGAATTATCATGCGTTAGGATAGTGTTTAAGAGGTCCCTTTCTGTAATATTATATATAATAATAAACTTGACCGAGAGTTTTGTATTCATCGTTCATTTTCAATTGAGCGTCCGTTCATATTAAGTTTCTTCTTTATAAAAGGATTTCGTCTAGAAGAGCGTGTTATAATAGTAGATATGTATATATGAAGTGTTCAGCTAAGTGTAGTTCTTCTTTAGACTTCCTAAACAGTTTAGTTAATGTGTTATATACTACTAAGGTTTAGACGTTATTGTTCTTTTTCATTTAGAATAACGTGGTGGGCCTCAATTGTATAGATTTATATTCATTCGTTTTATGTGAGTTTATTAGTGATCGGTCTGGATCAAGCTCGTTCATATGTCTCACCATCTACACCACCATCTACACGCACCATCTAAAACCACCACCAATGAATATCATCTTCACCATTTGTTTGTTCACCATCCTCACCATGTTCAGAGCAGTTACCTGACATCCTCAACATCCTCACCAACTTCTTTGTTCACCATCCTCACCATGGTTCAGGAGTTGACCTATGAACATCCTCAACATCCTGACCAACTTCTTTGTTCACCATGCTCACCAATTCTCTTTCACCACCATTCTGACCATCTCACCAAACGCTATCATCGTGATCTTCACCTTCATGACGATGTTCTTTCCAACATTTCCTATATCATCTGGTGTTCGGACAGCCGTGTGAACCACACAATCAAATGAGCTTGACCATTCAATACCAATGCTGACCACATGCATTGCACATAGTCATCACTTACCAATTCCACATAGCTTCTAATAAGAACCACCAGGGAATACCCAACACCTCCTTAACCTTTGCTATATCCGCATCTCCTTCAGTATGGACAAGATTTCAAATAACTCCACTCTGTCTGTGTCAACATCAAGGTACTGGTAGCACCGTCCATGGTATCTAAATGACCCATCATTCACAAACTTACCCCCAACCCATGGTGAAACACCACCTCAACATCAGGGTCTGATCATTTTCTTTAATTGTCAACTATTATAATGCCTATATAAAAGTAAGTGTCAGACGACAAAATTTTATGAAACAACTTAATGACGTCACATGCATTACTAGTCATTTTTAATGAACCTCACATGCATTGTAAAGATGCCCATTGTTTTAACAGCTATTAACTAGCATAAGAGTTAATACACCAAACTTCTTCGGATTCACTCATACCTACCACATTCCATTTTGTCTCAATCTTAATAAATACGCAAGGGGACACACATAACAACAACGCACTCATGGGGACAACCAAAACATACAAACAATAGCTAAGAAAACGACAGGCACTCAGAAAGGGACCACTCCAAACACCAACAAAGGGGACCACGACAGGAACACACATGACACACTATAAGGGGACAGAATCGCAACATATTACCATGGGGACCGAAACTACATAAAAGAAATCATAAAACTGCAACCTTTCACCTTTTCGCCTCCAAAGGGATACCGCTATCGCTACTCGCCACCCGCCGCCAAAGGGATACCGCTATCGCTCACCTTTTTCGCTCAACAATCTCGTTCCACACCCACGACAATCCGTTCACGCAGTATCAACCTTTGCTCGCAAATCCTTCCACACTATCACCACAACAATAATGAAATCCCCATTTTCTAACTACTATCGTAGCCTCTTGAACGTACAAAAAAAAAAAACCTAGTTTATTTACCCCAATTTAAAAACGTTACCCGCATTTCAATTTCCCAAATCAGCCTGCCACGTCAATCCACTTAAGCCAAGCCTCATTGCCACTCTTGCACAATCACGTACAACAGTTCAGAAAAAACTGATCAATTATAACGGCGTTAGTGGGTAGGATTCAATTGATACAATTTCAAACAATAGGGTACAATGCCTACTTTTAAACCGGGTACTAAATATAGCAATTACCATCCCAACATGGGGACTAAGTAGGTAATTAAGCCTTAATTAAAATAACAAAGAGACCAACTTAAATAACTAAAATGTATGTTAAAAGTATTAAAAAACCTTACATTATTGGTGCATATGACATGACGGCCAATAGGCACGACTTTTTTTAACCTAAACTTAATCACTTTATTTCATTTCATTGATAATAGTAAAATAAATATAACAAGGTTACATAGATGTGAGGTAGAGTTGTAAGTTTATAAAATATAACAATAAAATTAGGAGGAAAATAATATGGAAATTTCTTGACGATGATTTAAATGATTTTCTAGTAAGAGATACAAGATTTTTATCTAATATTTATCAAATATGAAATATGTTATTCTTGAACGGAGAGAATTAATAATACTGTAAGGAATATATTCACTAATATAAAAATTTTGTAATCGTAAATTCTAAATGATTCACTAATATTATGTTTAAATATTTAAATAAATATATAAAATATCAAACGAAAAAAAACAAACGCCGTCTGTGGGGATCGAACCCACGACCCGTGGTTAAAAGCCAACGCGCTCTACAACTGAGCTAAGACGGCTTTGATGGAGGTTAACCTACAGTAATATACAATGCTAGGTATTTTTCTAGAGCGCCCTTCCTCCATTATCATCGAAACAAATGCTTTTTTAGATTCTGGGTATTACTGCGTGTTTCTCGTTAGATATGTTCACCAATTTCTGTTCTTAACTGTCAACAAAATAGTTTGTTATTCAATGTTCAATTAACGCATCATCTCATCGCAAATGTTTGAACATCCCTTTTTTGGAGGTCAATAAATTGTAGTTGGTATTCCCAAGTGAATTTTATCATTATACTCCATACGAAAATTGTATGTATATCCACTTTATTGAGTTCATTTGGTCAAATTACTGACCAGACCCCAAAGTTCAGATCAAGATACAAGAAAGTAAAAGATGAGGAGAAATTGGTTAAGAATAACCAAACCGAGTATATCTTTTGATTCAATGCTACACTTGTAGCCTCGAGCTATCATGCAACAAAACAAAACAACACAACTCTAAATTCGAAACAACATCATCATACGTAATGATAAATCATTTGAAGCACAGTAAGAACATGTAACTTGCAGTTCATTGATCACTAAATTCAGACACCATACTACCAATGTTTCAAGTCTTTCATAACACATTCATAAACAATTTGGCAAGCCGTGATTATAATTTGCACAACACTGCAGTAAAATGTATAGTTAACAGCTTCCTAGAAGAAACAATCCAACCATTATTTACCAATGAATTACAAAAGCAAACAAATACTTAACAACCAGCAATTCCAAACCATGATAAGATCAAACTAACATTGTAGAAGCCAAACAATATAGAAGAGAAAATGAACCCTACATGGAAGGCAAACAGAAAATTCATTCCTACACCGAAATTAAACTGTCCAAAACCATTTCAATTGATTGCACTATTGAAAACCAAAATCGCTTTATCTCAACTCAATTCCGATAAAGAACATACCAAGACTCAATCACACATAAAAGGAACAATGCTGAGACTCGGATCAAATTTCCTCATCCCCATTTTTCAAATTCGATACATCAACAATCCCAACCCTTTCACTCTCCGGCAAAACCGACCAATTCGGAGACTGCACCGCCCGCAGCCACCGGAAATCATCCACATTTTCCCAATTCCCGGTCTCGGTGTCGAGACCGGCGCTGCGAAGATCCTCCTCGATCCCTGAGTAACTCAAACAATACGGCGCAAACCTCACGCCGTTACTGTCCTCAATTATTGGCTTACTCCTAACCCTAAGGTAGAAATCGCTTTTTCTGGCAGAGTGAATCCGAATCTGATGAGACGCCATCACGAAGACGCAACCCTCAGCTTCCTCAATAAGAACAGAGCCAGTCACGGGCCCCACGTAAACCCTACAATCTTCAACCGGTGTACAAAAAGGCCCTAACGGAACCTATTATCCTCACTTCGCAGGAATCGAGATCCGAAACGGCGAATTCCCCTACCTCGGAGCCCCTGAACTCGGCGACTAAAACCTCACCAACTTTGTTTCTGAAGCCGGGAGATTCGCGCGTGCGAGGCGCGTGTCGGGAATGGAGGGGTTGAGGGGTTGTTTGGGTTGCGGAATGCGGTGTCCTTGGGGTCCTTCTGGTGGGTTTATTCTTGAAGGAGAATCTGTTTTGGGGATGAGTTGGTTGGTGATGGTTTTGGAGGGATTGTCTAGGTCGGAGACGGTTTTGAGGAGGTTTCGGACGTCGTAAGAGGGTAGGAGGTAGGAGTTTGGGCGACGAGTTTTTCCAAATCGAGTTGATTCGGAGATTTCTGGAAAGAGTTTGAGGTTTTGGTTGGATCGGAGAAAGAGATTGGGATTGTTGAGTTGGAACTCTATGGATGTTTTCAGTTGGGAGAAGTGTGAAGAAGGACGGAGAGGGTAGTATTCTGTTGAAGAATTCGGGCTTTGTTGAACGGCCTTTGGGGGCGCTTCGAAAGCCTTTCCACCATTGCTAAGTGCTTCTTCTGTTTTCTCTGTTTCGTCTTCCATGGAGGATACTGTTCGTCTTTCTGGGATTCCTCAAACTCAATTCATAGTACATTCATGGTGTTCAGATTCAGACTTCATTTTTCATTATCAGACTTTTCCAAACAATGAATAAGTAGTTCATTTTTTGATACGTTAACTTTAATTTATTCATTTTTTTTCCTGCCATGGTATTGATTTAAACTGTTGCCATTCATTTATTGATTATAGTTTAATTTAAATACAAAACCTTTTCATATTCTTATCTAAACAGAAACATTCCTCGTGCATCCTACAATTCTTTAGGTCTTGTTCACGTGATTTGTGAAGAATAATGAGGGGATGAGAGAATTTGAAATATTTTGTTTGTTGTATTATTTGAAATTTGGAGGTAAATGAGATTATGATTTGGAAGTAAATTTTTTTTAATCTGTCACGTCCAATCAAATCCTACACTAATTCTGAGCAATCTTTACTTCCAATTCATTCTCACTTACTCCAAATTGACTCAAAATAAAATAACAAAAAAATTTATTTTTCAAATCCTCTCAAATCCCTCATTACTCTCCCTCAAATCCCACTCAAGTGAAGAAGGTCTTCGTTTTATAATTAGTATCTTTAAAATCATTCAAAAAATTTTGTATTTGTCGATGTATAAAATTTTCCATATCCTAGATAATCACAATTTCTTCTTCGTAATTAAGTTAATTTTCAGTCACATGATGTGACATTTTATGTTCAAAAGAAAAGTTGTATTTAGAAAACAAATTTTATAATAAAAAAAAGAAAAAATGTGTGTGAGATCTAATAAATTAGAGTAATAATTATTATCGGATAAACTATTGGATTAATTGTTTTATAGAATATCAAATTTTGTTATAAATGAGTACTTTACTATTATTTTATCACTTGTTTGGTTATATAAGGATAAAATATTCAATTGTTTGGTTACCATAGAAAAATTAGAATAAAATTTGTGTTTTTTTAAGAGATTTAGAAGTAAAAATAAATTATATAGAAAATGAATTTGTAATTCTTGCTTCATCGCCAATGCCCAAACTTATCAAATTACCATTAGCATTTTCTTTCACTTTTCTAGTCCCAATTCTCTGATTCATTCTTCTTCATCTCCCCCAACCACATCTTTTCATACCAACCTATAAATTTCTTATCAGAAATTAGAAGTTATATATTAACAAGTACATTTTATTTTGACATACAATGGTAATAATGTGGGAAGTAATAAATATAACTGTAACCAAATTGTTTGCACATAGACTGCATCAATTTAGTGAATGGACAGTAGTTTGAAGAAACACACAGCACTAAAATCCATGCAAACACTTAATGGAAAATAAGGTTTGTGAAAATTGTGAGACCCGAAAATTTACTCTTAAATTACTGTCATTACCATTAATGCACACCACAATCCATCTTATCCTCATTTTAAAACCCTTTCAAATCTGATAAACCCTCTGCTGTGCAACTGAAACCGTAGTCACATCATTCTCTGCAACATTAACAACGCACATTGGCTTCACATGTACACCCGCCACGTGTTGGCAGAAGAAGTTTCAGTTCAGTCTGTGTACGAGCGTTCAAGCAGTCGACCGTTCGGCCTCCTTTTGGTTTCAACCGCTCGACCATCCATGTGTACGAGCGTTCAAAGCAGTCGGTTGTTCGGCCTCAAAGGTGTTCACCCTTTGGTTTCAACCGCTCGACAATCTCTGTACGAGCGTTCAAGCAGTCGACCGTTCGGCCTCCTTTTGCTTTCAAACCGCTCGACAATCTCTGTGTACGAGCGTTCAAGCAGTCGACCGTTCGGCCTCCTTTTGGTTTCAACCGCTCGACAATCTTTGTACGAGCGTTCAAGCAGTCGACCGTTCGGCCTCCTTTTGCTTTCAAACCGCTCGACAACCTTTGTACGAGCGTTCAAAGCAGTCGGTCGTTCGACACCATTAATGTTGTCCATTCGGCCTCAATGACGTTCGTCCGCTTGGCTTCAGTCATTCGGCCTCACATGCCACTCGACTTCTACCGTCCGTGGCCTCACGCATTCAGCTCATATGTCCGCTTGGCTTCAATCATTCGGCCTCACATGCCACTCGACCTCTACGTCCGTGACCTCAAGCATTCAGCTCCTATGACCTTCGGCTATACAGCCCCTACCGCTCGGCCATCCAGGTCCTCACATCTTTTCGGTCCTTCAAACTCAACCGCGCGGTCATCCTTGGCTTGAAACGTTCAGACCACAGCAAATACAGCCTCCCCCCTCAAACTCATAAGTCCTATAGTTACCACGTCCGTAAAACGAAACCGTTAACTCGGACTTGGGGGGCATGTTATGTAGTAAGATATTTATTACATAAAATATCTTAGATATTATATTACATAAAATATCTTAAGATATTTATAAAGCCACTAACCACATTTGTAGGTAAGGTGGTTATTTTTATTCTTATTTTGCTTATAAATACAGTAACAGGGCAAAGGTCCAGGTACGTTCTCTTTATGTTCTAGAGACCCTGAATAATATTTCAGAGCAGTATCATAATCACTCTCTTGAGAGCTGAGACTCCATAACTCACATCTGACTTGAGCGTCGGAGTATCTTTGCAGGTACCTCCCCCTCCTTTGGCGAGTATGAACAACAACAATTGGAAAAGAGCAAGCATCCCAGACAGCCAGGAACAACAAAGACACACCGGACAAAGTTTACACCGAAACAGATTCCATTTGTTTTTGTTACATAAAATAGGCTTTGATTATTTTTGTACTTTTTCATGTTCGTGGAGATGGATGAAATGTCAATTTTATTTTTATTATTGTTTTTATTTTTATTTTAATGTTTATTTCACTCGTTGGGCTTTAAATATTGCATTTGTTTTATCAATTTAACATTACATTTCTAAAATATCATTGTGATGATAACATGGTTATTAAATTTTGGATTAAATATATCTTTTGTTCCTTAAGTATCATATTATTTTGGGTTTAGTCCCTACTTGAAACTTTAATGGCTTTTAGTCTTTATTGTTTTGAAACTATTACTACTAATCCTTAAAATTGTATGGTGTTAAATTGTCTTTGACGTGGCAAACAACAAACTCACGTCTCATGGCACCTCCCTTGCCATGCTTCTTTATGTCTTCATTAATGGACCAGTTTCTCTTCAAACTAGAGAAAGTCAACGTCATTCAAACACAAAACCTCTTCGTCGCCATTTCTAAAACCTTTCTCATTCTCGAACTCTCCCTCCTCCTCTCTTGGCTCCTCACGCACCTACCCTTCGCCTTCGCCCTCTCTGCTCGATTCGTGAATCACTTCCCCTTACTCATAATTGCTTTTGGTTAAACCTCCCCCACCAAATGATGAGATAATCATGATCCATCCTCAATTAGCTAATGCTGCACACCAAACTGGAGAGAGAGATTGACAAAGGGAGAGAGAGACAGAGGGAAGGGGACACCCAACGTTTTATGAAAAACAAAATGGGTTATATAAGCAAATTTGCAAGAAGATGATAGTCGGTGTGTGATATTGTTCCACTCTTAATGTTCCTTTTGGGTGTTCAGAGGTCAGTGAGGTAGAAACAACCTCTTATAGAAAAAGAACAAATTTTCCCATCTCATTTACAATTCCTCTCAGTGGGTTTGATTTGGTGTGATAATTACCTCTTGCTCCTCTTCCACCTCTTCTTATTATTATCTCTTCAACTTCAACCTTCACGGATATCCACAAAAAAATAAACTTTTTGGTTGGACCACTCCAGTTCAAGCATAGCGGAGCTCCTTTCTTGAGATATACCAACTGGGTTTTGTGCAACTTTTCTCTTTTGCCTGGTGGAAATAGCTTAAAGTTCCAAACTTTATGCGCCCGAGGGGTGGACTGTGAGAGAAATTTTGGGGTTTGCTTCAATTTCGCTTTGCAGTTGAAGATTCATGGTGGGTGTTTGGTGCTTCAGTTCTTTGAATCTTCTATTCAAGCTCGGGCTTGCCTTGAATCCTCAAGACTATTACTTTAGTGAATTTGGCAAGTATGTTTGTGAATCGTAAGCCTCTTGCTTCGAATGGTAGATTACATTGAATATGTAATCTTCGAAGGTGAATGAGCCTCTGCATGGGTCTAATTCTCCTAGGACATGTAGGAGAAAAACCTCCCTCCTTTGGTTCTTTGGCTTTGTTGCCATAAGGGAGTGTTTGGTTCATCTTGAGTTTCAAGAGTAACTATTTAGTGAACAAGAATCTTGCTACAATGGTACAATGTTAGGAGGCAGAGTTTGAGAATGGGAAAGGTTTTGGAAATGGCGACGAAGAGGTTTTGTGTTTGAATGACGTTGATTTTCTATAGTTTGAAGAGAAATTGGTCAATTGATGAAGACAGAAAGAAGCACTAAACGTGGCATAGGAGGTGGCATGAAACGTGGGTTTACGGTTTGCCACGTCAAAGAAAATTTAACGTCATCCAATTTTAAGGATTAATAGTAATAGTTTCAAAACTATGAGGACTAAAAACTATCAAAGTTTTAAGTAGAACTAAATCCAAAATCGTGTGATACTTAAAGGACAAAAGACATATTTAACCCTTAAATTTTTTTTTTATTATTTTTGTACTATATTTTATAATATATTATTTTATTTAACATTTTTGTAAATAAATTTATACTAAACATTATTATTATTGATTTTGACATCTTAACTATGTTTACTCAAAAATAAATCAATCATTTGATATCAAATGAAATATTATTAAAATAAGAACAAAATAAAAAACATGGATCACGCCATTATACAAATAAAATTATATCTATTATTAAAAAATCTAAATAAATTTATACTAAATTATATTTATTGTTATTTATCAATAAAAGACAAATAAAACATTTTTTGACAAAACTTTACTCACGGGTAAAAAACTTTGAATTGCATATGTTTTTAAAATATTGTTCATTTCTTAAATTAATTTTATACAAAATTTAGAAAATATTTAATTTATTCTAATATAATTTAATATATGTTATTATTTTAATAATTATTATGAAAATTATAATAGTAATAATAAAACTAAAAATAAAAATAACTATAATAATAAGTGTAACATATTAAATAATACTAAAATAAGTTAATTATTTGTTAATTTTAAATTAAAAATAAAATTTTAAAAATATATTAAAAGTTAATTTTCGAAAACCATTTAAATTTTCAAAGAAAATCGTAACCTTAAATAATTTTTCGATATATATTTTCGTAAGAACAAAATCAGAATTCGATTTCCGAACAACCGAATTTTAACATATTTTTTCAAAATCTTTAAAATAAAAAAAATGAGAATTCGATTTTTTAAAAACCAAATTTTGAACTTTTATAAAACCATACTATTCGTATAAATATTAGCTACAGTGTTATCTACATAAATTAAAAATAAAACTAGGTTATTTAAGAAAAAAAATTAAAAAAAAAAGTTCATTTCAACAATTTTCTCAACTGCATAACAATAAGACAGTGAAAGAATAAACGAGAAATATTTCCCACTACCATCATACAAAAAACACATATATAACATAAAGTCACACTTATTTTTTAACCTTCAAATCAATAAATAAATAAACATATAACAATTTAAAAAATATATATAAATTTTAGTTGGTGACACGACATTAAACTAAGTTTTTTTTTTCAATCCACGCATTTCATGCAAGAAAAGTATTTTTTTTTCTAACTTTATACATTCATATTCATTTTCATCATTAACAAGAAGACCATAAAAAACCGAACGTTCTATCCTCACTAAGAACGAGAACGAACACTGGGGACGGAACTAAGAAAACGCCCGTTCTAGATCAGAGTACGAACGACAGAGTTACTATCATATTTGAATAATATCAGGTTTCAAGTGACGAACGTTATTTACCACGTGAATCAGTTTAATGAACTGACCCTCGTGAGTTCAAACCAATACTACAAGGAATAATTTAAGTGTGAGGCTTCAAGCCGAATACATATAATGTAGACACCTCAAGATGTTAATGAATCATATTTAGAATAGTTCTCATATTGAAATCCACTGTCAGTCAATGACCGAAAGCGGTAAAAGGATTTACTGAATTTGGAAGAACGCTATTTCCACAAGGTTTGATATTTAAATACGAGTACGAGCGTTCGGTATAAGACCGAGCACTACAGAGTACGAGCGCTAGGTGTAAGACCGAGCACTACTTAATATTAAAAATAAAAGGGGTAATTATTAAGATATTATATGAATGTATTTGCGAATTTATATATATATATATATATATATATATATATATATATATATATATAGTTACAGCATTTAGGTGTTCAGCTGGATATTCAGATGCAACTACGCTTGACCGATCGTCCAAGCACAGCGTTATGATAAAGAGGCGCTCGTCCTCAATCTAGAATTCTTTCCAAATGAAAGAATTCCATTTCAACTATATCCAACAGGAGAACCGAACGGTCGATGACCGTCCAGTACGAACGTATTTTATCATAATATAATCTCTTCTACA